CTTTCTTTCTTTCTTTCTTTCTTTCTTTCTTTCTTTCTTCCTTTTTCCTTTTTTCTTTTTTTGGTTTTTGGTTTTTGAAAGCAGGGTTTCTCTGTGTGTAGTTTTGCACCTTTCCTGGAACTCACTTTGTAGACCAGACTGGCCTCGAACTCACAGAGATCTGCCTGGCTCTGCTCCCAAGTGCTGAGAATATAGGCGTGTGCCACCACTGCTCGGCTCTGGGCCTCATTTCTGATAGCAGCCAGAAAGTGAGGTCAAGGAAGTCTTTCCTACATAGACTCCTGGCCCAGTGCTCCCTGGGTTGTTTAGGGGCTGGTGGGTGGCTCAGTCCTGGGATGGCCAGGGAGGAACAGGTGGTAGGTAGCTCTGCTTTGGGAGGGCAATGGTGTTTGCTTCTGTCTTGTTGGAAGGAGCAGGGATGAGGACAGGTGCTTTCCAGGGCTAGTCTGGGACAGGCTAGTTTTCAACATAGACCTGAAAGGCGATGTGGCATAGTAAAGATCAGGGGTAGAGGCTGTGTATCCAGTCTGTTCTCAGCTCTCTGGCCTCCTTATGTCGGTCCCTACCTACTTCTCTCTATATACAGCAAGTATGTGTTACCCAGGATCATTCGCTGTGTCGACACCTCACTGCCCAGGTGAGCCAGGCACCAGGCGGGCTCAGTCATAGAACTCAACTACCGTGAATCTGAGTAAAGAAAGGTCTATCTGGATCAAACAGAGGAGGACATGAAGCCCAAGGTTGGAAGGGCCTTGGGCAAGGTGAACTAGATGTGAATTCAGGGTTACGCCCAGAGTTAGTGCTCCAGACCCCTTAGGAAGGTCAGAAAAATGAGGAGACGGCCGCAGCCGGAGTTCTTAGAGAAGATGGCCCTGCTTTCCCTATGGGCAACATGGTTACAGGTTTCGGATCAGGACTTCTGGTTCACTTTATGACTGTGTGGAGGTGGTAAAGAGCTTGCTGGTTGGAGCATAGGCTCTGTGGATGACTGTGTGGACAGTGAGGAAGGACAGTTGATGTGGCACAGTTCATGAAGGGAGGAACCAGGGCCTGGCTGGAAGTGAGCAGAAAAAGCAGGTAGGCCGCTGGAAGAGCTTGGCATGAGGTCAGAATCACTTGGGGGGCAGGGTGTGTGTGTGTGTGTGGGGGGGGGGAATGTTTAAGGCCTACTACTGCTACCGGGTGAGTCACTTTATCACTCTGAGGTTTGGTTTCTTTGTCTGTTAAATGGAGATGTTAACACTCATCTTCACGGTCTATCATGGGACTTCAAAATAATATAGGCAAAGTGTCTGTGTTTTATTAAAAAAAGATTATATAGAAAGGTTTATAGAAAGCACTGTTTTTTCCTGGAAATGGGACCAGGATGGGGCTGTCCTAACAGAACGGATGAGGGAAAGAGTATGTGTGTACAGTAACATTAATCACCCCTCAGAAGCAGGACTTTCTATGGGCCTGTCCCTTGCCAGGTAAGGCTGGGTAGCCAGCAAGGACCACCCACTTCAGCTCACGGGCTGAATGGAAGTAGGTGCAGGGAAGAACCCTAGAGGCAAGTGCTATGGGAGGAACTTAGTGGTGTGGGCAGCCTAGCTCTGACGATAGGGACCCTGAGCAAGTGTGTGCTCTATTAAAGGGTCCTGAGGGGAAGGTTGGGAGATATCTGGGAGGAGGCTCCACTTTCTGTCCCGAGCATTACCTATTTCTCTCAGCGGTAGAGCAGGCTGGTCCAGGAATGCTGGCTTCCTCCTCGGTCCCATACTCTTGCCTGGGCTACCTAGGATGAGGCATGCTCCTGGAGCTACCCACTTCACTGTGAAGTGCCTTCCAGACCCTCCTTACTCTCTCCTCACGGGCTTGGTCTGAGCTCTGCCCCTCCCCAGCTCCTGGGCTTTTCTCTCCACACAATAACAGGATGTGATCAGTTCGTAGAGAGGAAGTGGGGGAGGATGCTATGCTGATAGCAGAGGAGGAGAAGGGGTTCTGACTCTCCCCTCTCTAGTCTTCCCCAGCTCTGCCAACCAGCCTCTGAGGCTCCTTTCCCCCTAAGTCCTACCCTAGGCTTCTGTCTGAGACCAGTAGGGATGAACTTGGGTCTTCAGGCCCATGCAGGACTGCTTGCCTATGGAGAGACATGCCTTGACCACGCCTTCTGCAGAGCCTGCCTTCTGGAGAGGCTTGCTGGCCAAGCTTTAGATGCTGGGTTATTTCCTGTCCTGCAGCTGCTGGAGTCTAAGGAGAGGCAGGTAGGTCACTCAGCAGGCCTCCATCTGTCCAATGGCTTCCCAAGTCCATGTGAGCATGGTTCAATGCAATGGGTGACAGAATCAATCAAAAAGTTCTTGTCAAATGCTG